TTAGGACCAACAGGGACTATTTTTCGGTCGAAATAAACTTTTTCTTCATCAAGTTGCCGGCCACTGATTTCCTCATAATTCTGTACAAGAGATAATCCCCACACACTTAAAATTTTCCGCGATTCGGGACTGTTATCTATATTCGTATAAAATTTTTTCAATGCATTTATACGCTGAACAGGTGAGAGGCAAGTGAAAGTCGCAATTTCACGCATTAGTTTGTGATTAGCCCTTATTTCATCACGTAACCCGGTTACGTAACACAGCTCAGGAATTAAACAGATAACGAGATCTTCTGCTTGCGATCTCTGCGACATACGTTGTTTTTTGATGCATATCAAGAGTGGTTGATTTGTGTCTTTTATTTCAATATTGTAATTCCTTCGATAATAGTCCAAGAAACTCAGTGTCCCTTCTTTGAATGTGAACGTCGATCGCGGACTTTTTTCAAAACAAATATCGTCAATTCGGTAGGTTTTATTGTTGTATCTCGTTATAACGGTAGCACCCAAGAGTGCCTTCTTAGCCGTTTCTTGAAAGTGCTTGGGGTTACGTCTGAAAATTTCAAGGAGCGTTTCCGAAATAGTTTTTTGGCATAGTAATCTATGAGACACATCGCAGCAAAGTAACAGACCTCCTTCATGTTCATCGACGGCGGTCACATATCCGGATCATACTGAATACAAGAATGAACGGTAAATTTTTTATATGTAATTGATTATCACATATTTATTTGGACACAATTATTTAGCGATACGTACTTTTAATAGCACTTAACTTTACACACATCATTTTCTTCGTTTGGATATTTTTCTCTGCGATAACACATTTTGAGCAAAAACTTTGCACTTCACATTTTCTTCTTGTTGTCTTGCACATTTTGTTTTTGTTAATCGTATTACATTCTGGACATCCCTTTAAACAGGGAATTTTTGTTAATCCTCAGTTGCGTAATGCGCATATTATTCGACAGGCATTAGAAGGCTCATTCGTATTACTTTATACGGAAAATAAAGGAATTTTATATAGAAATGCATAACCCGTAGAACATACTCATAACACAAATGCGATCTTGTCTGATTGCAGCATTTTTGATTTTTACATCTGTCAACAGTGTATTTCGGTAATTTATGCAATTGCACATAAATTTCTCCAATAGAATTGCTACAGCTACTACTACTACTACTACTACTACTACTACTGTTATTGGGTGTGGGTTGGTGGATGAATGCTCTACTCCATTCCATCATTCTCTTTTGGAGGCCCCTGTTGGCTTGCCAAACGGACACGTTATGGCCTCACGGTAGAACGGCTGACTATTTACTGCTTGGCAATCATGTCTATACATATGTAATTGTGACGGTATGTTTGAAAGCTGGCCTTTCAATTAATTCGTGGGCATGGCTAACGCATACCTCTATTTGGGGTTCGATAGCGTTACGGTTTCTTTACATCATCACGTATAGTAAATCTTGCCCATTTCCCACTACTATATTGCTACTATTGTTACTAGCACTGCGAATGCTACAGTTACTACTTATAAATGAAGTATTATTGTCAATTTAATAAATTTTGCCAAAGAAATAAATTCCAAGACTAAAGTCTTTAATTACTAGTATCTCAGGCTATCGGCTTTAATGCACCCTATTAGAAAAATGATATGAATGGCAGCAAACTAATTAGGCATTAAAAGGGTATTGAATAGATGGGAAGTCAAAAAGGCGCCGTACTCTCACCATACCAAAGGTATAGAGACTTAGAACGTATCTATGCGAATCTCTTAGGAGATAAGAAACAAATTCGCGAGGATAGTCGGCAATTCAACTCAATCGAGGTCCAAGAGAAGCAAATGGTCTTTCCGTCGGAGGAGAGCATATGACAAGATCACGGATTTTGTTTCTTATAAGTTGTCAATGAGTGCAACAATATCAGGGTTAGCGTATAATTCTGTTAACAATAGACTTGTGTAAATTTATTTTAAAATTTTAAAACGTGTTTGTATTATTAAAAATTATAAAAAGTCGGTTAAGCAAAAATTTTCAAGTGGAAAACATTTCACTGAAAAACTGCTGAAGTGGTAAACATTTAATGGACGTACAAGAAGTCATATGGCATTAAATCTTCAATTCCGTTCAAATAATTCTTCCAAAGATGATCCGATAAAATATCTAATCAAGAGCAATCAACATTGTTGCCATCGTTCTTGTTTCACGATCATTCACGATCGTTTCGTAATAAATATTTCGATTGATATAAAATACGCACTTAATCACTTTTAGTTTAGGAACATTCTTCGCTTATTTCCATTATTTTCGGTGATAAATTTTGCCCATACGATATTACATTATCTTGATCGGTTTTATTTGCAGGAATATTCTCGTTACTTTCAATTTCACTATGGCAAATAGCGTCGCTACGGTTATTCGTCCCTGATGGGGATTTGTCGTCTGATCTCATCGAATTGTTTGGAATAATTTTACCATAAGATATAATTTGAACTTGATCACAACTATTTGAGGATGAAACGTCGCTTGTCTCCGCTGCTTGATAATCAAAGGATGGCATCGCAGTGGCGTGGTTTTGTTCTTGCATATTTGGGAAAGAATACATCGAAGACGATGAACATGTTGAATATCCGCCATTTGACCTACAATTTAATTGAATATGTTATGTTATCTAAAGTGATTATTAATAAATTTTGATATTACCATCCAAACATTAAGTCATGGTTTTGTTGTTGTTGTGTTACACCGCCACAGCACTGTTGAGAATTTGTGCTACAATGAACTTCCAGTGCTGGATCCGGTCTAGGATACGAAAGCATTGATAACGGAGCCGTTCGCAAAGGATCCGATGGTAATTGACCCGCTGGTAATGGCCTCGATGGTAACAGGCCCGACGGCGGTAATGGTGGCGACGGCATTACCATAACATTTGGATGAAATTTCTTTATGTGCATGCGCAGACTCTGTTTCTGTTTGTAGGATCGATTGCAGAGATTGCATCTGACGCGTATTTGGGTGTGCACTAGCATATGTTGTTGAATGTTATTTTTCAATACCAGTTTTTGACAAATGTGGCATCTAGCTGTTTCCGAATCTGATTCAAGACTATGAAAACGATGCTGATGGACAATCATTGCTTTTTCGGTGATTGTTCGTTTACCGCAGACATTGCATTGAAACGGTCGTACGCGAAATTTTCTTTGCGATTCATAGTTTGTCAAATGTATGCGCTGATGCCTATCCAGCTGCCACACTTGAGGAAACTTCTGAGGACAATAATTGCATTCATATGGCCGGGGATGTGTTACACTATCACAATGTATATTATTTTCCGATGCTGGCGCTACGGAGTTTGCGCATGCTTGTTGAAAAAATTGTCGAAAATCTACATTATTAAGGAAAAAAATAAATAAATAAATGGATGCTCCTGTACGATTGTATATGAACGACGTAGCATTTTGTTACCTTGATTTTCATGATGATTTGCGGTCTCTTCAGCATTTCGATTAATAGTAGGTGAAACCGGTTTTGTACTCAATTGGCCAAGTTCATTTGCGCAGGTATTAAGGGCTGGACAATTTGGTTTTGCACTCAGTTTACCAAGTCCGTCTGCACTTGTATCGAGGGCTGGAGAATTTGATTTTGTGCTTATGTTATCATCTTTCTCTGCGAACAATTTAGTTACATTCTGAGCTAGGCGCACTTCTGCAATAGTGGAGAGGAATTCAAGATCACTGCTGTTCTCGTCCGAAGAAACATTGATCGTAACGCCAACTTTTAAGTCATCAAAACTATTCTTCTGACTTTCACCTTTAATGTTGGCATCATTGCAATTGCTTTCCTTAAGAATGCTGCTGTTCTCCAGACATTTGGAAATTTCTTCCTAAAAACAAAATGAATACAATTTTATATGAAATGTAAAGAAATTGACTATAATGGTAATAATGGCAGTTATGATATTATTAGCAAACAATTGTTGTAATTATTAGCGTAAAACTTGCGTTACTCGAAACACAATGGGTTTTTGGAAATACAGTGAAACAATAAATAAACATTTTCTTATCGACTCTACCTTATGTCATCATAGTCATTTTCACTCATCCAAAGTGTTGTTGGAATTATTGTGTCAAGAGATACAGATTTACAGAGAAAGACTTTCAGTTCTTATATAAGTATATGCTACGCCGCTTATGGTAAATACATACATCAAATCTGAGTCTGCCCGTTCCTCTGCCTATCTGTTACAGGTGTACAGGTCGCAAAATCGCAGCTTTTTCAAAAGTGTAGTCAGTGGGTAAGCATTGCCACTATAAAGTCATTGAATTCGGATTCAGATTTCAAGCGATGTAGAGTTTACTTTTATCGCAAATATACCAAGTTCCCAGTCGTTGGATACATATATACCCACCAAGCTGAGGCCATTAACTCCCTATCTCTTTCCTTATTCATTCCTTACCGCGACAGTAAATTGAGCAAAGGAAAACAAGACGGACAAACAGACGCATAAGCTTTAACGATCATCTTCTGATTCGATCAGTATCATCAAACCTACACCAAAAAAATTTAGGTAAGGCATTGTAGAAACTAAATTTTCTTTAAATATATGTTCATTTTCTTTTTGTTCTCTTGTAACATTTGCGCTTTTAGTAGTTTTGTGCTTCAGAAAAATTTTAAGACTAAGCTTGTATTTCTAGATTAGTTGGAGACCGTAGGTTTCTCGGCATAACTAATGTATCTCATGGCAAAAACAGATTTTTTTTATGAAATTTTTTTTTGTAGAAGCATTATGACTTCAGGATTGTGCGAAGAAACAATTGATTTTCATTGACACTTCGGTCGAACTGAAGTCAGGCAGCGGCAGGCGAAAGACGCAAATTCTCCTCTAGGCAATGTTTTCCTTTTAAGGGACAAGGAAACAATCATTGTTATTAGACGGTATATGTTCTTTCGAGCACGGTATATGTTCTTTTGTTTAAAGAGACAAAGGTGTACGCCCTTGAGAGGGAAACATTCGAATTTTCATTTTAGATATAGCTTTAACCCGATTTAACCACATATGAATACACTTAGCGAAGGCGAAGTTTACATTTAAGTTAATCGAGAATATTATCAGCAAAATATTTCTTATGGCATTTCATATTTTTTTTTTTTTTCTCAAGCGCTATATAAACCGCATAACAAATATTTCATTTGTTCAGAATTGGTTTTCATTCGTTGTAAGTGATATATATACATGCTCTCCATGAAATTAATTTAAATAAATTCTTGTAGCTTATGGCACTTCTTACGAGTTATCTTAAGAGTTATCTATAAACGGCAGTAGGGTTACGACTAATCCTTATGATAAAAGTCGATCAGTTGTTGCAGATCTCAATACTAGTTCATAACATTTGTCTTACTTTTTATATTTCGAGAGATAAATGCTAACTGTAGTGTATGAATGTTTTTTCAAACTTGCATAGTTAGTTTATACTTTTTTTTTTTTTTTTTTTTTGATTATAAATTTAAAAACAAATGTGACCTATTGGTAAATACGTGTATGTATTTGTGAGTATGTGTATGAGATCTTACCGTTCGTGGCGATAAATTTTCCTCTTGTTTTTCGTTAATGCCATTCGGAACGTTTTCTAGACGCGGCACTAATTCACTTGGCTCAGTTCGCATAATCATGTCAGGCATTTCACAATTTATTAGCATATGCTTATGCTGAAGATGAGTCCAAAAATCGAAAGCATTATTTGTTGTATAAGTATTGGCGAAATGCTCGGCATATTCCATGCAAATGTAACAAACGAATATGCATTTGGACTGAGCATTGCGATATATTTCACCATATTTAGTCCAAGTTTTTGGCACCATTTGAGCGGTCGTCTTAGCGTTTCTACATAATTGAAAATTCGTACGTAAATGTTTGACCTTTTCATTATATTCTATATCCATATTGTTTATTGTTTCAAAAAAAAAAAAAAAAAAAAAAATTTTCAAATTCAATAAGTGCTTGTTTTTTTATTCTTATTTTTATTTTAGGTTTAAAATAATTTTTTCTCAACTATCTGTAGGAAGACGTCCACTTATTTGAATAGATACGTTAAGTTTTTTTATTTATTTATTTTAATTTTTTTCATAAAATATCACAGTAAACTACGTTTTTTCGATTTTTTATTTATTTTTCCTTAATATATTTAATAATCATTCATAGTGCGTTATAATACATAGCGTGAGAAAATAAATAAAAACAAATGGAACGTAATGATCTTATCGCACACAATAATTGGCGTCTACTACTTGATCTGACTACAAATAAATCTCATATTCTTTAAGGGGCTAATGTAAAGCCTGTTTCTTTATCGCATGTTCTCTTAAGTCTTAACCGCAAATCAAAACACAAACTTACCCTTACTTAAGTCACAAATTCGTTGCCAAAATGGCTATACTTGCATGACGATACTTGACACTTCTGTAAATGGTTTTATGCTGAGTCCGATTGTTATTTAAAGTTATATTAAAAAAGAATACATAAATATCACTCATATATTCATATATAACTTATACGTGAATATTTAAAAGTATTTAGTTTTAGTTTTTTCTCTGTTCTCTAAAAGTGTTAAGACTTGAATTCGATTTTAAATCATCACAATTATTATATTTCTTGATTGCTTGATTCAAGTGTAAATATACACAAAGCACGTACAAGTGAATAAGAAAGTGGGGCAAAAGTGTGTGTTATGCTGAGATTGCTTATTATTTGAAATTAAACAAAAATATGTCACTAATATGCCGACATATATATAAAATGTATATAAGAAAACTTATGAAAGTACTCACTTCTTGCAAAGATATTCACTTGTGTAGCCTAAGAGTCGTAAGAAGCGATTTCGTTTCAAAGTACCATATATTGAGTTTAGCGATATTTTTTATTCTTTTTTGCGCTCTTCCTATCATACGAACTACTGTTAGGAATATGCCAAAGTTCCTTGCTGCTACTTTACTAACTGCAAGTTTGTTTTTATTCCATGAAAACAACTTCTGAACAAGCCCTACACAAGATAAATTCCGTAAATGCAGTTAACCCCCGTGCTGTGTGATAAGTGTTGGGAGCAACAAGGACGCAATAGAACAGACAACAAAAACATTATAGTCGAGCAAGGCCGATCCTTAAATACCCTGCAATACTTCCCATAGCACAATTACTCAGCCATGTTTCTGATGTTGCCACAAGAATCATGCCTCACTTTACACGAAAGTTCTCATGTTGGAGGGCAAACAAAGCATCGACTTATATGATCCAAGTTTAATAAACTTGGTAAGGTTTTTAAACATTTTATCCTTTTTCATAAAAAACTGCACATTCGCTTTTGCTTCCACATAAGAGCGTACTCTTCAGGAGAACCCTTACATATGGTGGCGCCTAAAAAATAGGCCTACGTGGTTCAAATACCCTATAGTTAGCTTTTATGTAAAATAACTGTTACGAACCAGTTTTCATCCACCTTTCAGGTTCAATTTGAGGTTCCTGTTTATAAAAACCCCTATATAAAATGGGGATCATATTACTATTATCGAAAAATTTTCATCATATTAAAAATTATACCATTTTGACTTGAAACAGTTTACTTCTCACGAGAATTCCTGCATGCGGTGAACTTCAAAAAATAGATCTATTTAATCCAAATTTGCTGCAAGAAATTTTCATTATAAAATATCAAAAATTGGACACTTTTGCCACATGGAGGCTTATTTTTTATAAGAATCCCATTGTGGGATTTACAAGATTGTTCTACGTTGTCCAAATTTTGTGTGGTTAATTTCCCCAAGTAGCTTTTACCAAATTAAGGACCAGTTTTCATAGAAATGGTTTTATCGGAAGCGATTCAAAGAATTGGTTATTGGAATTCAAAGTTTTCGCGCCTCTTTCCTACTATCAATCCCATCAATTTAGAATGCCTAATACCATTACTTAAGGATTTTTCAACATAAGTCATACGGAGAATGATCGAAAAAGTTGACCGATTCTGTACATTTTTCGATAGAGTTTACCCTTGGGCGAAAACAGACATACATACATACTTAGATCGATTTAGAAAATGATTTCGAATCGATCGCTATAACGAAGCAAGGGCTTATCTTAAGTCCTTTGGGATGTTACGTACATCTGCACAAACTTAATGTGCTGAACTTTAATACATCGGTCAAGATCTTGTGAGACTAAGTAAGAAAGAAAAACATCTTTTTTGCCATATTCATGTTTATCAACATAATGCCGTACACAAGTACAATCAGTCCAACGTTTCTCTGACCTTTCGACTCATTTTCTTTTTTGATAGAACGATTTGTTAAAGCTATAAAAATATACCTCAATTTCCACAATGATTTAATTACTTGATCTAAATCTGTTCCCTTAGAATATCCATCGAAGATTTCCAAACATGTAATTGTTGCTGCGGCCCACCTACGACAAATATAGTGGATGTGGCAGAAATTCTAAGTGGAATTCATTTATTTCATCATCAAGAACACAATGATGCTTTTATTCTACACTGGATAAGTGCGGTCCGCATTTGGAAAATTGAACTCTTGTGCGCAAAATTGTATGCAGTAAAGCAAACATATTCTTTTATGAACGAGATATCGAGTGTCTCCTGCAAACCTGGCAATTTTCGATTAGTGAGAGTAATGTGCAGTATTTTTTTTACGTTTACTGGAATAGTCACCACTGCATTGCTTTCAGCTTCATTGTTCAACAAACCAACGACAGGCTATTGTTTTCATTGGGAAAGACTTTTCAAGTCAATGGTGACCTTGAGCAGTACTTTTTCCTGCCCCAGCATATTTTGAAGAGAACAAAAAATAAATGTCCCTAAATCACTATATGAATCGTAAACAAATGACGTTCCTTTCAGGACGATGAGAACTTTTCGAAAGCAATGGGTTAATTTTTTTGTTAGAGATGATCACATCTATGTGTTAGATACAGCTCCCATTTCGCGTTATGTTTATTTAACTTGTAAATGAAGAAGACATTTTGTAAATTTACTCAATTTGCTTAAGATAAGGGACACCTGTAAAGGCAAACACGTGTATACAAAAAAAAAAAAAAAAGGAACAGTTTCAAAGCCACTATTAAATTCTAATCGTTTCATAGCTAGGGAAAAACTCAGATTCTTTTTTTATGTTCCAAATCATGGCATTTTTCCTTCATATTATATAGATTTTAATTTTTGCAAAAAAAAAAACAAAAAAAAAACATAATAGTCGTGAAATCTTTTTCATGGGCTCTTAAAAGCTCTCTCAGCAAATGTTCAACTAATTGCTCTAAAGAATAAAATCGCTCGATCCGTTTCATTTACTTGCATTTGCAATCTTTTATTCTGCGTGCTTGCCTAGATGCACTTGGCAAATTTTTCCCCAACACATTCTTATCTAGTCCCGATACCATTTATTTTCATTAAACTTTATCGCGTTTTTTTCACAATTTTATCTACTGGCACACAATTTACTTCGAAGTTTTCGCATTAATATGTGCAAACTTTTCCGGTTACAGACACTTTGTTGACAATTACAACATTCGCGGGTTTAGAAAATGCCAAGTGACGACTTTTACTATGAAAGAAACTATGAGCGTATTTTTGTCTTTAATCTCTTAATCGGGTTCTAATTGCCATGCGCAGAAATTTGCCTTACGTTGAAAACTGTTGTAACGTGACCTCTAACTTTTTTCATTTTGATTTTACCTTATTCTTCATGATGTCCCGATATTGTCAAAATAAGCAGCCTTTACTGCAACTGACTCATAGAAGAGGAGATTATTATGATGACAATATTCAGCATTCAGTCGAGGCCTTGAAGTTATTTAAACGGAAACCTTACTGGACTTTTTAATTAATTATTTTCTAATGGAATGTACTACGATTGTGCCGTCCTTGCCAATATTGTTGTTGTTGTAAATTAGATCGATCTGGCTTTGCTGATAAAGTCTTCCTTAACGCTAACTAAGGCTAATCGTTTTGTTTGTAAGATAATTCCATCACATCGTTAGTAGCCGAAGAACGTGGTTAAAGGGTCACCTACATTACTTTTATTTGACTGGTCGGCATTAACAGTTTCATACCAATCGACCTATAGTAACAATATCGACATGACATTAATCGAAGATGATGTGGCAGGCATGTTCAAAACGAAATGTGGCTGCAATTGACCATTGGCAGCTGGCAGCAAATCTATACCTGAGGTTTTGAAGAGACCACTTAGTTGCATTAGGAAATTCACTGGAACTAACGGAATTTCACCCTGCTGAGTGCTGGTATTCTTGATAGCGCTAGTTATTGTGTTCATTGGTATGAAAGAGGCTAAAGAGCCTATTGAATTGGCGGAAATACTGTAAGACAAACTTGTAGATGCATTTTTAAGACAAATCCATTGCACTTCATCTTCAGTAACCACATCAATTGGTTGCACTTTATATACGAATAATATATTTCGGCCGGGATCTTTTCTAGAAATTCTTTCGTTCTTGAATGGCAGAGTAGGAAAAAGATCTCGACCAACAACTCAATGGTCGCGTGTTCAAATTTGAAATGCGATAGAGTTTTCCATAAAGACGATAGCCTTAGATGCTAGCGTTTTAAGACTTTAGTCCTAGAATTCCTTTCTCTGATAAAGTTCATTATAATAATATTATTATGAAAATGGCCGGCATATATTGCCGCAGAACAAAACTAATGTCAGTCACACAAAAAGAGACGTTACTGTACATATTTGTAGGTATCTCCTATTATGTTTATTTAACTCTCTTTTGCTGAAAAGTTTTATGATTGCATTCATTCTCAATTGCCTGTGTTTTGAATAATTCCTGGAAATTTCATGTTTTAATTGTTGTTGTCTGGTGTTTGTAGTCCTATGCTGTTTATGTTTTTGCATGATTGTGACTGTTTTCTTTACCATAACTAGTCTGCAAATGTGTAAGGAATGTGTGCGTATTGTGCTGGTAGCGTCCATGTTCACTATTAGACGGTGTATCTGCTTTAGATGTTTACGTAATAAAATTTGCTTCTTTAACTTTTTACTTGTCTGCACCGAGTGCTAGTGAACATTTTTTTTTTCATACGGGTGCTTACGGAAGTGAAAAGATATGTGTTGTAGGAGAAGGACATTACACTTTAAAGCATTTATATGTAAAAAGTTTAATATGTTCATTATTTTATTGTCAAGAGAAATCGAGTTATGAATGCGGTGATAATATCAAATAATCTTGATTACACTTGAAAAGATATTTTCGAAAATCCGAATGATAAAAACAATCAAAAACGAAGATTAAGGCAATGTGCCACATCACCATACTAACGGGAAGAACGTGTTTCCTCGGGTTAATATTAGAAAATCTAAGCTTTGTCAAATAAATTTCCGCCCAAAATTACCATGTGATTGCCATATTAATGCAACCGTGACTATAACATGGCAGTCAAGATAAGGCGCTGACACAATAAGGCGTCATATCGGTTTTCGGATTAAAATCTTAACAAATGGTAAATAAAATTAGAAGCCGCGGTGCCACGTATAATTTTGAAACCACAAATGAAGATATCAACGTAAACACATGCAACAACTTTATGAAACATAGCAATAAGAAAGTTCATGCAAAAGTAGACAAGCTTGGTCGTTGATTAGCGATAAAGAAGATTGATTAGATAAAGAATTTTTGCGTATGTATTGATTCACAATTTGGAAATTGTCCTTTGTAAGTCTCGCATAAAACCATTTTAACTGAATATATTTCAACTTCAAAATAAATTATCTTTAGTGCTTGTTTTCCATTTCTTACAGAACCGTATAATATAAGCAAAACATGCAAAAATTAGAGAAACATGTTTAAAATTTAAAAGAAACGTTCATCATTTCTTCGTGTGCTTTTTTTCCTTATGTTTTATTTGCATCTGGTTACATTTGTCAATTCCCAAAGTGTTTTGAAAAAATTCGGTAAAGTTAAAGCTCAAACTCGAGCGAAGGTTACTTGTATTATAATAAATCCCTTTGTATATTGATCTGCAGATAAGAAGAAAAAAACCCAAAAGAATAATTGGCTCAACCGCAAATATTTTTAATCGGCCTAGCACTGTATTCTTTCAAGGTATAGTATTTGAATTCCTTAACTAGAAATAATGCGCATATAAATGTAGTCATTGTGTTTAGACCTTTAATCGATATTTAATATTGTATTGGTAAGCACGTGGAGGACATCTTGTCGCGAGGAATTTGTGCAAAAAATAGAAAAGAGAGAGAGAGAAAAAGAGTTGCAATAAATAGAGCAAGAAGAATCGAAGAAAACCTAGAACTATATATAAATAAAATATACTTGTTAAAAATAAATGAAGCAAGTAAAAGACTCTAGGTTGCAGTCTGACTTTAGATGCCCCATAGTTATTCATACGATGACTTTGCGAAATAACGCGTTATATAGGGAGTGGCTGTAAAAGTGGTCCGGTTAGAACGATTTGGGCCAAAACAAGTCAATGTAGCAAATTTTAGCAAAATATCTCAATAGCTGCAACCTGTAAATTGAGTAAAGGAAAACAAGACGGATAAACAGACGCATAAGCTTTAAGAATCGTCTTCTAATTCGATCAGTATCATAAAAAGTGGATCTATCTCAAATCTTTCCAAGTATTACAAGCGTCTGCACAAACTTAATATACATTTGCACCCCAAGTGGTTTTGGTTACAAATACATATGATAACAATATTGTAATAACATGAAAAATATAAAATTTTATAATTTTAATAAATTTGAAAAAAATAACTTGGAAAATGCATTACAGATAGGCGCAAAGAGAGAATATAACATTTTTTTAATACTATATATATATGGATAAATATGAATGTATAAGAGAAGAGGGTAAATTATTTGTAAGCATACCACATGTTTTTATGTATATACACTCTCTTTTTATAAGGTGCTCACTTCTTCTCTCCCCATATCTTGTGGTTTCTTTATCTGGGATCATTGCAATAACCTTGCAACTCAATAGAAACCAATTGTACGTGTAATCGTCATCATTTGAGTTCCTGTCGTTAAAAAGTGAGCACTTCGATTCAATGAGGCACCTTCAATAAATTTTGAAGAAAAATTGTACTCACAGACTTGCTTCTAGGCGGAACACCCCTGTGGACGTGAACTTTCAAATGGTGAGCGTGGAAGAATTGAAACAATGAGATTTGCTGGTAAGAAATTGGCGAGATAGCAGTTCTGCCAAGTGGGCAAGGTGATAAGAGCTCAAATTTACTGAAAGATCTTCAAAGTTACGATTGCATTAAGCGCATCCCGATTATAAATCAAAGGAACAAGTGATTTATTCGACATTTACGTACCAATGAAAATATGAGTTGCAGGCAGAATTGGATCTAAATGTAACGGGACGGCGCGTGGAACGGCATCCTAAGACTGATATAGGTCTTATATACGGAAACAAAGTTAACCTACCCTTAACTCGGCAAGATAGAAATATCCATATTGCATTTACCTACAAATAAAAATTTTGGGAGGAAACATTTGCAAATTGTTATATATGTAGTAGTAGGAATAAGTTCAGTTTGTACAGAACTGATCGTCACAATAAATATTGAAGGAATGTGACACATGCTATACGCACATTGGTAATGGATGGTGTGGGTTGCCTTTGCACGAAAAGACAAAAAATATGGTTTGACTTGCTAGAGAACAATTTAACAGACCATGTTGAAGACTTTTTTGGTTTTGTGGTGATAATTGGCCGTTCCAATTACACAACGTCCTCGTTTATATCATACAGTTTATAAAGGATTTTTTTAAGTCGCATCCATAAGTCCCGACCTCAACCCGATTAAGAACCTCTGGGAAAAATTTTCCCTTTGAGGAACTTAACCTTGCAATATTGCTGGAATGGGAGAAGATCGTTTGACTTTGAGAAACTTGATAGTTTCTATGTCAAATTTAGTTCTCGTTCATAAAGGCAACGCAACATAATTTTAATTACACAATAACATAGTTTAACAATAGGAGTTAATATTAACTTGTAAAGATGCTGATGGATTATAAACTTTATTTTACCAAGAGCTCTGAAGTTAATTCCTACATCATGTGAACGGTTTGTTCGGGTAAGTGAGCCAAGTCTATTACTTCACGAGTGCCAAGATCAACTCGGTGTGAAGAATGCTTATTAAACGACAAAATAAATTCATACGTTGGACTAGAACTTTACGATTATGCCGAGGTGTGCTCAACACCAAGTTTGTCGTAGCAATTGTCGCTTGTTGAGGTTTGCTGTTGCTTATATGCTATTTTTCTAATTTAATAAATTCCCTTGAATATTTACTTACATTCTATATTTAGGTAAACTTAAAATCAATTTTAAAAATACATTCCTAACGTAATCAATTTTAATTATTGTGGAATACGGTTTTTATTGCATAGCTACGTCTTCGAAGTACGTGACATCTGTTAATATAAAAATGCAATTTTGACATTTTTATAAGTGTGCAATTTGTTTTGCTTATTTTCATTTTTTGTTGTTGTTCACAACTGAACATACGTATTTTTCAAGCCAATTTGCAACTGCCCGATCGATTATCAGTCCTTCACCGTATATGCCGCATATTTTTTCATCTGTCCTCTTGCCTGTTGCCTTGTTTATATTCAAAAAGCATTAAATCATCGAATATGCACTTTTTGACTCTCCATTTCAGAGGTTAAGGAAAACAGTTGAATGGAACATGCACCACACAAAACAGTTGGCAGAAGACTAACCGAGTCTTCATCTATATAGTGAAAACAAAAACTCGTCTGTTTCGGCGATTTATAGTGAGTAAATACGAACAATAGATTGTACTTAGCTGCATCGGAAGTTACTGATGACTGAATCTAATATACATTTTTATGTATGGATGGGTCACGATCAAGCTAAAAGCCAACTTTATTAAGTTTCAAAGAAAAAACTATTTTGTTCACATTGAGCCTTTTTTACTCAACACAAGGAAGAAGAAGATCTCAGATTCAAATAATTTTCAAAAATAAAAATGAAACAATTTAATGCTAATAAACCTTTATCCAAATAAAGATAAATAAATTTTTTGCCAAAATTTATGATGACAGCATTCTTTTTATAAAAATTTTATTATGCAAAAAACATCCACAAGTCATTACATGTTAAAAGTTATGTAAAATCAACCGATGTATTTTTATTTTTCGTCTTTGTTGCTTTTCAAAAATATTTTCCAAAAATTTATTAATGGCAATAAGGAAAATTATCTATTTTCGCTTACACTATTACTTGCATATGTACGCATATAAAATATATTTTGCAGTCTTTTGAATTCGATTAAAAATAGAATTGAATGAGAAAAAAAAAAAAAAATTAAATAAATAAACTTATTACGCTTACACAAGCATCATGTATTTAAAATGTATTGAAATTATAGTCCAAAGACGGTCGTGTTTTGTTTTTTTTTTTTTTTTTTTTTTTTTTTTAAATGAATATTAGAAAGGTTTGTACAACAAAACTTTTTTTATTAATTAAAAATTTCACGATCAAGTTTGATCTCTTTCTTAGTATAATACAGAAATTGAACTAAATCTACAAATAACAAGGAATTATGTTTAGGATGAATACATTCGATAAGATGGGTGCAATTTTAATTTAAATGAATAGATGCAAAATCATATATATACGTATACATAAAAAAAAAAAAAAAGAAAACAGAAAATAATCAATAATCTTCGATCCTCGCACAGGAATCGAAGTGTAAGTAATGCTTTAATAAGCCGACAAGTGTTAGGGACTACGCTTTAAGTAAGATAAGTAAGGTAAAATTGTCAACGATAGGCACTTGGAAAGATATTAGTTGAACTTCGTATTAGGAACGAACATTAATAGTTTTTTTTTTTAATACATATTCTTGCGCGGAGCTTCAAACTACAGTCACATTGGCGTAATGTGCAAAGATAATTAGAATTCTTAAAGTCAAAAGTATAGGGAGCAGCGAAACCGATAGAAATTTAAATGAAGACTCCACAAATTATTAACAGGTTTTCAGTAATTGTTAATACTTAAGCAAATCGCTTTCACAAATGCTTTTCTTATTTTTTTAAATGTTTGAACTATGCCTGTTAAGTTTTTATTTTTTGTTAAGATATGTATGTCATACAAATATATTTGTTTTTTGAAAACTTTTGCTTATATTGTCTAGGAAATCTCTCGATACATTTATGGTACCTTTCGTTACACTACCGTTGACAATGACAACTTACTTTATAAAGCTTAATCACTTCTTAAATATAAATAACTAACTACTTAAGTCTTGTAAAAAAAGAAGATGAATTATTTATTTTTTTAACTAAGAAAAAAAAAAAAAAAAAGTGAAAAAAAATTATTTATAAATTTTCGCGACGATGAGGCATTTATTATCCGGACAATTACAATGGAGGTGAGTTTGCAACTTAGGAACATGCACCCCTGAGGCACATCTTTTATATGAAAAATTTCACATATGTACGATGAACATTATGTTTTTCTCCTTTTTCTTTTTTCGAGAGGACTATTGATGTTGTAATTTAATGAAATTCAGGCAGCCTGAAGCGATGTTTGATTGCCTGGAATATAGTGAAGAGAAGAAGAAAGTTCATAAAACGATAAAAATTATTAAGTATTTCTTTCATTAGTTTCATACATATTTTAACAAAACAAATAACTTTGTTGCAATCAATTAATTGCAAGTAATTTATAATTTAGAAAGATAAGGATTTTTAAAGGAATACTTTAGTTATATGAATACACTAATTACACATACATTTAGTGGGATCGAAAAATTTGTTTTGTAGCATAATTGATATTCAAGTTGAGTTGACGACGCATTCTACAATTGATTGCTTTGGAAAGATAGTAGTACGGGAATGTAGGCATAATGTTTGAAAAGCTTGAAAAGGATTCAAATGTCACTAAAGCAAATTACAATTTCAATTGACTACGAAGACTATGTATGATGAGCCGCTATATTAGAAATTAGTTCGATTAACTCGTTCAAATATACGTGAAAACATAATTTTACTATTTTTCATTAAAAAGATAGTTTCTTCATAAACTAACACAAAAAAAGTTGATGCGGAAAAATTGATTTTTGTCACAAGATAGAAAATATTCGAACAAGTAAGAAAATTATATTTGATTGCAATCGCCTCTTTTGTACACGTGCACTCCATATTGGATGTGCATGGCTATTTTTTTTCAATTTTTCTTAAACAATTCTGCGGAATTTTATGTCGTGTGTCTGTTATAGTTTATGAGCAAGGAGCAGAAGCAAAGGCTTTCTCAGGACACGAACTACCAATGGTCCTGCCAAATTTGAAGTCGATGGTTTCACTTTTGCGGCCATGAGAATATTTACGACAGACTTTACACACGTGGACAGACGGACGGATGCTCCAATTGATTCACCATTTGATCAATCTAATCAAGAATATAGATAGTTTATGGATTGTCTAAAGCTTCCTTTTGGGGCAAAATGACCTCCCATCCTTCGGCAATGGACATAAGATTCATCATCAGAGGATCTACATAAAGTAGAATCGAGTGATCGTTTCGTCCACAACAAGTCTTGCTATATCTGTATTTCATATTACAAGTAAAATATCTAGATTCAGAATAAATTCCGAAGAGTCTTGCTTAGTTGTGCGTTCCAATTATCTTCATTACGTATCTACTCAATGCTCAGACCGATTTGAAACAGATGTTATACCATTTTGAATATAACAAGTCTGTCCGTTTGATAGTTGTGTGTACTTTATAGCATTTGCTCTACAGCTGGTATACAGCAACCAGAAGGACCCAACTATTATTATACTTTAAGCATGTCTGTCCGTCTATCCTCATTTTTATTTACTTCAACCGACAGGTCGCAATTTTTGAAATATTTTGATGAAATTTGATAAATCCTCATACTTTGGCACTCCCCATATGACATCATATTTTGAAAAATCATATGGGTAATTGTACTAAGTGAAACGGTCGGTGTATGGTATCGAACTCATTGAGATTTTTTTTAATGTTTGGTATATTGATTGAGGACAGATCATGTTTATGACCTCTCTCCGGGTTCAGTCCCGTGTTGACAGAGGTGCTCTACGAAAAGTTGCATTTTCAATATTTTTCGACAAATATGGGTAAAAAATAGCATTTTCGCGTATTAAATAAATGTGTAGAGCTTTGAACGGGACGAGTACAATTTTTGCACTTTCTCTCATATGAAAATTTTTATATGGCAATATAGGAAGCCATGATTAGTATTCTATGATCAAAATTGATCTAGATTAGCGCTTTGATATATAATTATGCTGCACTAAGTTTGGGTCATGCCGGTTTATTGGTTTGGATCTCTTTCCATGTGAGGTTTCGTAAAAACTAAACCTTTATATGGCAATAAGATGAAATAAGAGTTTGTGGTAGGTGGGAAATTGTTAGTTGGTTTTTTAACAAAAGCAAGCATAGAAGCAATTTCGATCAATTCAGATCACGTTTCGGTCTCTTTCCTGCGCAATCCCCGTGTTTGAAAAAGTAATTGTTATATGACTAGGTTATAAAATTTTTCTTAATAAAACTCGGATATTTTATGATCGACTATAACGCTTGAGCTTGTTATATATTAAAATATCCATTTCGGAGAGACAATTATGTATGTGAATACTTAGATTCGAATAATGTGTTGTTTATGAAAATGGTACTGCGGTAGTAAATATGTCTGAATAAATTTATTATTTCCTTTAACTAGGTATATTTCTTAATAAAATATTTATTTGGTTTATCGACCAACATTTTTAGATCAAAGATAACAAGTAAGAAAATTAAATCGAATCTTTTATACCAATTTTATACTAGACGGACAGACGGACATGCATAAATCGATTTAGAATTTGATGCTGATCAAGAATATATATACTTTGTAGGATCTCTGATGCTTCCTTCCCGACGTTGCAAAATGTATATATCCCTCATCCTTCGCTAATGGGTATAAAATTGTCTAAGTAAATAGGCTTCTACAACTTTCATATATGAAGTTAATAAAATTTTGCTTTGTAACGGTTGCTCTAACTTGTGTTTATACGAAGTGATCGACAATGAACTTCATTTGCTATAGCAATAGTAAACATTAATTGGGGGATGAAAACACATACATTCCATATGACATTTAAGTGATAAAAGGACACTTTTTGGATTTATTTAATATGTCAAATATATGTAAGTGTTTGCGGCATGCAGCGTTTCGCTGAAAATGTTTATAAAAGTCAACCGTTGAGCACAATGAATACATAGCATTAGATTGCATTGCATTACTAAAAGAAAATCATGTTGTTTAAGAAACTGATTAGACTTTCTTTACATGAATGCTTAAAAGTGATCGATTGAAGGGAAACGTAATTAATGAAGCGAAAAACAATTCCTTGGCTTTCATTTAACTTTTTCTTATTTCTTAAAATCAAACACCGCACAAACATTTGGGCCGGTAAGAATCGCTGTCATCAAACATGTGTGCGCGGGTTCAAATTTCAAGTACCGTTGAGTTTACTTTGATCGTAGTTAAAGCCAGCAATAGCACTTATCGATTAAGCATAATTAGGCGCAATCTCACTATCTCTTTCTTTTTCTGTTGATTGATCATATTAAAGAAGAAACAGAATAAAGAGAAGAGGAAGAAGAAGAATGTGCGGTATTAACTACACAGTTTTTGCTTTTCTGTTTTCATAAAATACATCATTTGTGCTTGTTAATACAACTGCATGCAGAAGAGTTAATTTGCATCGATGCAATAAGTAATACAAGCTCAACTATATGTCAATAGGTACAATCAACTATTATTTTATTGCTAAATGCAAATGCCATCATTGTGTTTAGTACATAAAACAACTCTTGGGTTATCTAAGGTGTTGCGAATTATTTTAGGTTCATCTCACAAATACATTTAATAGAGCCTGAGTTATGTCACGGCACGTTCGCGACAATCAATCAGTCTCCAATAAAGTTGGAATAGTAATGAAATTGGAATCTATTTGTAGAGTGGTCGTACGATTACATTACATTACGCTTGTTGCAATCGTCAAAAGTTTAATGGCGAATGACATATAAAAAGTTAATAGATCAAATAATTTTGAATTAAGAGGATAGACAAATAGTTCGATACTTTATCTTAAGGATTACAGAGTTGACACCCACCTAAATTCTTCATACACTTGGCCTTAATTCGTGTATTTCACATAATTCGATTTTATAGTAAGCAGTTGGACTTTTATCGCATTCAGTTGTTTCAATATTTTTGATATTAAAGCCTAAATTGAAAATAAAAAACAAAATTGTGAATAGGAATTAAAGTAAATAAAAAATCTATTCGCGTTAAAACAAATCTCGGGTATACATATAACCCACTACCTAACCTAAAAATATATATAAACAATAAGCAAATCGGGTCTTATCATAATAATAAGTCCATAACGAATCCGAGTGCTTTTATTTCATAACCATATCGACAAGATTTTAAAGAAAAAATTTATCCATCACATCCTGATCCGTCCGTCGCGATGTCTCTCAATTTGTCGCATTCTATTCTCTTTTCCTTTTTTGCTCCTTTCGCCTTTTTATTTGATACGCAATCAATTACACTGCTAAGAAAGAAAAAGAATCCTGCACCATATGGAGTCCACCATATATATATTGGAATTAACACATTCTTAGACAGACCTTTATGTGAATAATTCATGAATAATTTTTAACATTCTGTCGTGTCTAGCTGATGAGTAATAAACAGAAAACCCCAAGAAAATAGAAAAAAAAAAACAAAGATTGGGATAACTTTTAACTATGTATGGTTGTGACCAATCTTTTCCATTTTCGGGCGTGAACAGTAATAATATAGAGGTCCTCCATAAGGTAAATATAGTTAAATTTCAGTCTTCTATCCACACATTTTCCCAGTTTATGCTTTGGGCGGGCATTTTGAGGAAACTTCCAATGCTTCTACTAAATTTGGAATCAATAGTTTCATGTTTGCGACCAAAGTGTCTATACCACAGACATTATGAAAGCAAAAAGACGGATATGTTTAAATCGGTTAAGAATTTGATTCTGATTGGGAGTAAGTATACTTTATGATGTCTCTGGACATGTCGTCTGGGTGTTGCAAACGTTTTGGCAAAATGTGTATACCCCTCATCCTTCAGTGATAGGTATAAAAATACCGACCTTTACATAACTAGTCCACAGGATTGTTTAGAATGTACATTTATACATATAAGTTTAATACCAAAACCGTTTCTGAAACATTGCCTTACGTTTTTATTATTATTCAAATATTTAATATAGTTTAGCTTACCTTGAGCAGCTTGACTAGCTTCGTGTTTATCATCCGTTATGAATACGGCAGTGATTAAGAAGAATATACCACCCAAAACCTCAACGAAACATACAATGAAGAGGGCGTATTGAAGCGAATAAAAGCTCGTACTGTCCTAGAATATAAAATTTAATACCTTGACATCGTCATATTTGAAACGTAATATTTTGAGTGGACAAACCTGTGGAACATCGGTAAGCGCAAGTGGAATTATTGGTTCTGAAGTTAACGTGGATTGAATCGTTTCATTCAACGTTAAAGACAAGCTATCAAAATTCGAGCTATGAACAAGATTCGCAATGTTCGACGAAGATGAACGTAAATGTCTTTTAATAAGTTCGGAAATCTAAAAAATATATAGTTTGTTTTAACGCAAAAAATCAAAAATTCGAATTTTTACTTACCAATCCTATTAAATACGGGCTACCAGCGTCGCCAAAAGTATGTGAAATTAGAATTTGAAATGCTTCAGCGGTGGAACGACGTGTTGGCACCACAACGTACTAGAAATGATTGAAATAAAAAGCATTAGAAAGCCAAAAAAAAAACAACAAAAGAAATGATGAAACAAAGTTGTAACAATGTTCCATAAAAACAAAAATATATGTAAAAATCAAGATAATGTTTTAATTATTTGATTTTTGCTGTCTGTGTAAGCACTGTACTACCACCGATGTTTTTTTTTTTTTATTTCTTTGGTCGAGAACTCGACAATGGAACTCGACGTTCGATTTTCCAAAACGTTTTATAAAAACAAATTATAATTTTATACACAAGCATAGATTGTAAATTTAAAGTAAGTAAAAGAAGTAAAGAAGAAGAAGAAAAGTATTCTTTGAAATCATTCGATGCTAGTAACTGTGTTAAAAACACCAGCAATCTCTCTTAAACACAAGTAAGAACATGATAGTCGGTCAAGGCCGACCATTAAATACCCTACAACGCATTGTCTGACACAAGTCTTATTTCTGTATGCAGTAACTATTGTGAGTCAATTTTTATCACTACATATTAAAACGTAGACTTTTCTGTTCTCTAAGAAATCAATTTTCAAGAAGCATTATACCTTCTTGACGCATGATCTTCAGTGTTCGCTACAAGAGAGGGTGTTTAAAAATTGCCTCAGTCCAAAGCTTTCATACCAATTTAGACTGCCAAAATACTACTACTTTTAGCCAAATTTGCCGGGAAATTTTGAAAATTGCTATATTTTTATGTAACGACTTTTCAGAATAGGAGGTTACATGGGGAGTAGTCGAAAAAGTGGGCAGATCCGAACAATCTTCAATTGCGCTCGTTCTTGGCTCAGAACATGTCAATGTACCAAATACCATCAAAATATCTTAAACATTGCGGCATGTAGTTTGATCGTAAATTTACGTAGACAAACGGACAGACAATCGTAGATCAATTCAGGTTATGATTCGGAATCGATCGGAAAATAAAAAGGTGGGTCTATTTCAAGTCCTTCTGTGTGTTGCATACGCCCACGCAAACTTATTACTGCCCATTTTTCCTTAAGTCTTAACTTTTCCTTTAATAAAATCCAATTCGAAAATCTGGTAAATGAAAGCAAGATTTCGCTCGCAATTACCCAAAGGCATGCATAAATAAGGCGAAATGAATTGCAGTATAGTGTTAAAAGTGTGCAAAGAACAAATGAAATCATATTCGAAGCTTTCTGGAAACAGTCGAAGCCACATTCTGGGCGAGCAATTTTGATTGACGGCATATACTATCAAGATCATGTTTGCGTGAAATCCTTCGTCCATTTCAAACTATATTGGGAAAGCAAGACTTTGTTTTATTGTAAAAATGCACAGAACTTTCCGGTAGATCCGGTTGTGTACGATATATACGATACGAAATGTGAGAGGGTCCGTGTTCAAATCCCTGTTGAGCCCACAAATCCAAAGAAAAATATTAAATATCAAATACTAATGCATAATAAATTAGTAAAATCGGGATTAACGATTACGTGACTTTAAAACTTGATTCAACCACTTCCAGTTAGCGACTGTATATTGTCTTGCTCTGGTATAAGGAAACGTTAAGTGAAATTCAAAGTGAATGCGAAAACATTTTCTATCTTTCCATTTTTTCCTATCTTAAACAAATTGTTTTCTTTTTGAATTGCTAACACTTTTCCGCAAAAATGACGGCAAATTTAAATCTTTCGTTAATCCTAGGCTAACCTATATAGCTTATGTAGTTGATCAATCTATTATCAATTCTACCAAAATTTATTAAATTTGTGTCTCTGTCTATTCAAATATAAAACAATAAAATGCAATAAATATTAGAAATTTTTGCTAAAACTGTGCCCCTGTTTTTCCTGCCCAATCTGCTGCTGCTCAAGGTCGAATATAATGCAATGAAAATTGTGGATAATAAAGTTTTTCTGATCAAAAAACCAATTTAATGTCAATCGGTTTTGGCTCTAAAACAATAGGTTTCAGGACCGGATATACAATCAGTGGCTGGAACAACAATCAGTTGCATGATAAGTATCGGGGATCGAATTGCTGAGCGCAGCTGGTCATCAAGATGTTCTAATCTCTCTTTGCCAACATTCTCGTTCAATATGAAATTTTAAAATAAATTTTTGAAATGAACTCGCATTCATTCTGTCAACACTAAGAAAACGGACAGAGCCTATTGAATTACTTTATTGCTGGAAGCATATTAGCAAATACGGAAACTACGGAAGCAGACTTTAAATTTTCTCTGAAATCAGGAAGTAAAATATTTAAACCCTTGAAAATTTATTTAATTTACTGATAGTGTTGTGTCTTTAAAATGAATAAAAATACCCTGGTGTTGGTTTGTTGATTAAACGGAATGAATTCATTGACTTTGAAAGTGATAATTACAACAACAACAACAAAAATTATATTGCTGAACTTGCTGAAGAGAACGAGCAGAAGATATATATATTCTCATATGAAGTTTTTTTTGTTTTTTTTTTTTTTTTATTATAATAAATTGCACGAATAGCAACGAAGAAATCAAATTGGAAAAAGAAGAGGTCATAAATTCATTCTAACCAACACTGGGAGAAGCGAAAGCGATTCCTTTTTTTTTAAATGAGAAAAAAAAAAAAAAATTATTTTATATCGTTACGGCACAAATTTAAATAATATTAAAGCATCTGTGTGTGGGTGGAGAAGTGCTAACAAGTGTTTTTTCTTTTAATTTAATTTGCTTACGCATCTGTATGAAGCCGGTGTATACCAATAGCACCCACCAAAAGTGATTACGAAACAAGAAATAAAATACTTAAAGTTAAACCAAAAGAAATATTAAATAAATGTTCCATATGACAACAACAAACGTATCTTGAAATTTATTATATATAGGCGTACTTGCACGAATTACAAATATCTGAACAAAAAAACTATTGGAGCGTCCCCCGCTTAATACATTTGTGCTTGTAAAGCACAACACGGTGCAAAATGTGCATACATTAGCTGTAAAACGGTTTCGATACAACACGATAGCAGAAAACCGAATATGTAAAGAGTTTCAATCGTATTCGAGAGCAAGAAAACAAAAAAAAAGCTCATTGGCTGCAGTTTGTGATGAAATTAAAATTGCTGATCGTCATAATCGTAGCTTGCGGTGCAAGGGTGTACCATATTTGTGCGGATGTATGCAACACCCAAAATGGCTTGAAATGGATTCATATTTCATTATACCGATAGAATCAGAATCATTTTTTGCATCTGCTTAAGCTTGTCTGTCCCTCTGTCCATCTTGCTGTTTTATGTGTAACCTACAAGCCGTAATTTTTGAGATACTTTGGTGGAATTCGAAATGTCGACGTTTCTTGATGTAAGGACAAACGCGGATCGGACCACTTTTTACACTCCTTCCCATATAACGTCTTATATGAAAAAATCATTATATGATGTGATGGTGTAGGGTATTTTGTGGTGAGCTACAAACTGTTCGTTTTCTATATATATATCCTTTACTTTTATATTTCATATTTTTTCCATTTTTTAAAACTTAAAGTTAAGCTACATTTAAAATTAAATTCATAAGTTTAGACTTTAAGATTTGATTTATATTATATCGAAATTTAAATTAGGTTACTGTTTGCTATAACATGTTTTCGGAACAGCGCGAAATGACTTGACCGTATTAAGTGAGGGACGCCTGTAAACGTATCATTGTACTGATAAGAAAGAAGTGTATTATTATTTGCTTACACGGTGAAGCAATTCAGATGCCGGACAATACCGATTTTTAATAAGCCGTTCATCTCTTTTAAATGCGTCACTATCAAGCTTTCCTCCACAGCTGACTACTGAATACATAGTTTCAAAATTCGCGGTTTATTGAATGTTTTGAAAATGTGAACACTTTTTGTGTATCACGGTAAGAGAAAATCTATCTTTGTAGGAAAAGTGAAAGCATGATTTACTTATTAATACAAGAATTTCTATTTCAATCACATAAAATACGGAAAACATTTGCTGTATTGTTAGGGAACTACTATCGATTATTTTTGATCAGCATTTCCGTTCATGCGTCATTGGTTTTTGGTATGTTTAGGGCGACAAAGGTAAAAAGCTAAAGTTTCACATACACACTTACTATTAAGTGGTGAGAACAAAGGTTGAGACCCTCATCCGCCATTCAAAGACAAAAGAAAGCGATGGTTACTTATCATGTGAGAACAAAAGAGAAAAAACATTGATCTGAAGATTTGTGAAAGTACATATATGGTAGATCAATTCAAAATTTGGTGATCTGAATCTGTCAAATTTTGGTTTGTTGGTTTCAAGCGAAAGGCAAGTATTCGTGCCAATGAAGTATTTTCATAGTAGTCTTCATAGTGCATATTATTCATTTTCTCGATAGACACTACATAAATGCGGTGAAACAAGATGGTTTAGTAGTGAATAACAGTGATAGGTAACAACGTAAGGAAATGTCAAACAAGCTGAAGGAAGAATAACAATTGACTAGAAATCACGTTTGAACACACACTAATAAATCTTTTCCGATGTTCGATTGCAGCCTAACGCGAGAATCCATTCATTCCGTTTATATCATATATCGGATGGAAGATATCGTACAGATTTTTAATGAAGTTTACGAGAGTTCTGATGTGCGTGAAATGGATATGTACTGCGAAATGAAATTAAGATCAATAGTTTTTTGGGGGTAAGCATAACATTAAATATTTGAAGCAATTTTAAATCACCTGCTACAACGCAAACGATATAGATAAAATAAATTGAAGTGAAAACATCGTAGCTGTAGCTAAAAGATGTGTGAAATGCAAGTGTCCAGTTCTCCCATTTTTTTTAAATTCCCTTTTTCATTAGATTCTGAATTTAACTGACGACTCGATTCGCATTACTCTCAGTAGTGGTGTTCGTCGTTGGCGCAAATTTCATTAAAATATCTTAAGAATTCCGATCTAAACACACAAGAAAACAAGACAGCCTCTTATACAATTGTGCTACAAGTGGTGCAGGGTATAAAATCTGTACTTGTTACAGCGAATCCATAATCCATAGCTACAGAGTTTACTCCACATCAAGAATCATAAATCATCGGCCTCTACTCTAATTTATTACCGTTATTTATTTGTTATATGTAAAAGCAAAAATAATATTTAGAATTAGGATTTTAAAGGATGTATTGTAAGCCGTGGTGTTTTATTTCTTTTCGCCAATGCATGTAAGGGAGAAGATTCGATTGTAATATCGTTTCCTTAACGATGCAATTAAGATCTTTATGTAGCATTGGCTACTGTATGATTTATTGAGTCACGTAGTTTAAAATGCTGAGATGCTTAATGCGCTTGCTTTTGACTTTCTATTGTTCGAAAACTAGTTGATTCTATGAAGCCATATTTAACAAATAACTTTGTTAACAATATTTCAGATAATCCATGGTCAAATATATTTTCTTCCGTTAACTACGTGTACATCTGGTTTTGGTTTTTTTTTCTTTTTTAGAAATCGATATTGTGGGAAATGTTCGAACGCATTGTGTGATGAAAACGTGAACATCGACTAAGCGAAATAAGAGATTCGTGAATGTGAGAGTGTGTGGGAGATCAGAGAACGGTGTTATTTAACAAAAAGATTTGGGTTTTTCTTACCAGCAATATATCCGCAAGAATTGGCCAATTTAAATGTAAGCTGAATTGAGCGAACAGTATGAGAATGAATGGCGCATGCGCGAGAAAGGGTACTGTAATAATAGCGGCCACAGTCAGGGGTGTACTCACAAGCAATCCAATACCACAGATGAGGGGATCGGCAAAGGAATGCTTTTCAACGAATTTTTGCGATAAAAATGAACCGACTGTTACACCCAAAAGACCCGATGCCGTCGTAACAGCCCCAAATCGAAATGACACACTATATTGACGCGATAGAAAATTTAAAGCATTAACCATTGATTGTTCTTGTTGTTGTTGTTGTTGTTGTTGTTGTTAAATACATTTATAAATAATTTTTTAAAGGGATAATAAATGAAATTTTGCTTTAATTAGCGCCCGTACAAGTGTTTGCGTCACAATCATAGGTGGTAGCACAGCAATTTGACATACGTTGGATTTTATATTTTCTCAATTCTTACCAGCAACATATCGGCCACGATCGCCCAGCAGAGGTTAAGTGATAATTGCGCTGCGAAGACAAACAAGAAGCAGAGCGTAGTACTTGTTACCGGCAGCACCAATGCACAATAGACTAAAGGCGATGAGATGAGTAAGCCAACTGCACATATATATGGATCACAATTTTCCATAGCAGGACGAAACCGTTCCGAGAACCACGTACCCATAGGAACACCGATTAGTCCAGCAATCATAGCGATAATGCCAAACTTGTACGATACGCTAATTGCGTGCATTATTGTTATTATTATTATTATTATTATTATTATTTTTTTTTTGATTTATTATTGTGTAAATATATAATAAAAGTAAAGTTATTGGAAAATATTTTAAAATTTTACAGCGTTTCTTAGGAAAAATTTGGAATTCTTAAGCGAATGTATGAATACTTACTCGTTTAGTCCGATATCTTCGTTTTGCGGTTGTAGTTTGAGTCCTTGGTAGATGAATGTGGGACTCCACCAGGCTAAAGCGCCTGTTACGAAAGCGACACATGTAAAAGCAATCGTAGAAAATACGAACGATCGGTTTTTCATCAAATACTTGAGATCTTCTTTATAAGCAGTTGCTCTTAAATTATGGCCACCTTCGCTCTCGCCTCGCTGGGGATCTTTGGTAATTAGAATCAATATTGCCGCGATGAGGCCTAGCGCGGGAGTAACACGTAAAGCGAAACGCCAATTGCCGGCTAGATGCGCTGTTTCAGATCCTACAATGTAACTATATAAAATATTTTTCATTGTAAATAAATAAAATAAGCAAAAACACTAAGGTGGACCAAAGCCCATCGTTAAATACCCTACACCACCCTACAATTATTCATATGACATTTCGGAATAAGTCTTTATGTGGGAAGTGGGCGAAAGAGTGGTTCGAACCGAACCATTTTCAGTAGCATTCGTCCTTGAGTCATAACCTGTTGGTGTACCAAATTTCATCAAAACAATTCAAAAATTGCGATCTGTTGGCTGAATACAAGAACATAAGGCGGGTAGACGGGCAGACAAGCTTGAATCGTATCGCATCAGAGTCATCTTCTACATCGACCGATATAATAAAAGGTGAGATTCAATCTCGAATCATTCTGGGTTTTGCATACATTCACACAAACTTAATATACTATTGTACCGCCACTGACGTAGGGTATAAAAAACGAAAATCAATCTAAAGTGTTTTCATTCAAAAAGGCATTTTCCAAATTAATGTTCTAAAATTTGAACCCTTTCTACCTGCCATTAGTTGCGAACTTTTATCGATCTGTAGTTCATCTGCAAAATATGTATGCATCAGTAGTTCTATTAATGCATATTAAAGGAGTTAAGAAAACGATGATATTCCATGACGTTGTAAGGATGTGGTTTTTTCTCCATTTTTGTACAGGTATAAAAAATGGATCACCCCTAGAACTTGCGTGGATAACTTTATCGTTCTATCTATTTATTTAATGAGCATAAAACAAAGAACCCAGCGAGCAGAGATGTTTTCAGTTTATATTCTACTGTATGCGTGCCGTGCCCTTCATCCGATTTGAATCATTTTCAATATCGAACTGCATGCAAGAACTTTTGATGTTGCTGCAAACTTTGATGACGATATTTTCGTTTTTGCGAACAGGAAAATGGTTACGGTAAAAAGACATATGGACATACTTAGATCAATTTGTAATTTGATACTGGTCAACGATATATATAGGGCCCCTAAAATTTCCTTGTGACAAACGTTTTCACGAAATGATTATACTCTCAGCGTTCATTTTACTAAAACTAACTCTTAGCAACTATTGCCCTATTGCCATGCTATCGGCATTTTTCAGTGCAATAAATATGTATTAGCTTGACTAACGTACATATGCTAATTAATGATCGACATTTTCAAATAGAAAAGTGCTACAGCACGGTGTTCTCTTCCTTGCTTTTATTGGAACGTATCTGAGACTGTGTTAATCATCGCTTTTCGAAAAGGTTCGCTTAAGTTAAAAATGGAATGTTAACGTTCAGTGTTCTAAATATTTGAAAGGGCGAAAAGAATTCGACTCGTAATTTTAAGTCGCCACCTTATTAGAGAAAACATATTTAAGGTAACGCTTGACGCATATATAAAAGTAATTCATCTCAGAATTTAGTACTCGGGTCGATGTACGATTCTCGAGGTATCGTATAAGACCCAACCCATAAACGATGGGACACCTTATTGGATTGATGTTCCTCGATTGCTTTCATATCGAGTTGACTTTCCGTTTACAACGGAATATTTTTGACATCATCGGTATATGTATAAAAAAGAAGGGGAAAAAAGTAAGCATTGAGCAAACATATGAAATAAAATTTAGTAATTAAATGTAACATTGTTCGTCCTTGTGCTTCTCGGATTATAATGAATGATAAAACTTGATTATTATGAATGTGTGTTTGTCGTAATAATGTATTCTGGAAAGTATGTGACCTTTGTCATTTTGTCAAGTCGTTTCATCACAATCCAACTTCATATTATATCTGGTCTGTGCTTGGCGAGCGTACGAGTATATCGCAAAAGGTGGTGGACGCAGTTAACTGGTGATAATTTCCATACTAAATTTGCCTCTCTACAACAGGGGCCCAACCAACAGGCCCTGAATATATCATTTTCAGAATACTTCGTAAATAGTTTCTGCTAATTTTACATTTTCCCTTCCTGTCGGTCTCAGAAATTGTTTACTTAATTCCACATTTACTTATCTGTTTGCATATTTCCCTTTTGAATATGAATTATGACATTTTACGTTCGACATTGAACAAACACTCATATGCTATCGAATGCCATCAACAGATTTCTCGTTAATAAGAGATATCGAGTTTGTTCGTTAAGGAGAATTGTAAACCGAACCCTGGTTTCTGGCATGAGTTCTTCGAGGAGAATAACTTGCGCATATTTGTCATAAGGGGACATTATCTCCTATTATTTGTCGGAAATACCATAAAGCATATACAATCTTCTTATTGGAATCCATTTAGAAATTTGTATTTTTAGTTTTGAGTTAGTAGCGAAGAGTGATTTTAACTATATATGCCTGGCTTGATATAGCAGAAAAAAGCTGATCTCAAAGGCCGATTTATTGTGATTAATGATGATTTTGGTAAAAACTGCTAAAAAAAAGTTTTTTTTATTGCGATTTAAAAACTGTAATTAAAGTTAAGTAAACTGAAATTGTAATCTTAAGAATTTCCATATTAATTATCTCATATAAAATTCTACCAATCTGTATATAAACAGATCAAATGATTATTCAAAAGACACTCCTATAGGTGCTTTTGTTTTTGTAATGATTGTTTATAGGAGGTTAAATGAACTATAATTTCTTTGGTTTACGGTTTGAAATTGAATCCTTGCGTGTCATATGCAATTATGAATAAATATTTTAATTGATTTACAGTCACATCTATTCTTCAATTCATACATCGTTTGATGCAAACAATCAAACTGAATTAAGAATGAATTAAGTGACAAAAAAAAAAAAAAGACTGGAAAAGTTCTTTAAAAAGTTTAATTCGTGTAATTGATTGACCTCTAATTGAATTCCTGTTTATTGAGCTCAATCAGTGATCAATGCTTTAAATGGTTTAATAAATTTGATTGGTTTGACCTTCTCTTGAAAAACGTGCACTCACAGGCATTAACTTTTACACTGATAGACTTTTTTATACATCAAACGAACACTACGCTATGAAAGAGAGAAAAGAGGTAAAAAAGAGAGGGCGTACTATTAAATACCCTACCTTATCAGGCAGTTGTTCATGTAACTAACTTTCAAAATAAGCCGTTACGCGATAAGTGATTGAAGAGGTCATCCGATTCGAATCATTTTCAATAGCGTTCATCCACCACGTGGGCCAAGTTTCATTAAAATATTTCAAATATCGTCGCCTGTAGATTGAACCCAAAAAAAACGAGCCGGACAGACAAGTCCAGCGCGAACCAGAATCACTTCAAGCCTTCTAGATGCTGCATACATCTACACAAACTCACAATGCCCTTGCATTACAAGCGGGAAAGGGTAGAAGGCATACAGACCAACAGACACGCCTAACTCAAATCAGAAACTGATGCCGAATCGATTGATCTAATAAAAAATTTCTTCTTCGTCCGGTGCAGGGTATAAAGAAAACAAACAAAATCATGTACATCTTCTTTTTCGTTAAAAACTTACCCAAATCCAGAACCAACAGGTATTGCAAAATAAAATACTGCCAACATTTTTGAACGCAGGCCACGTACAAACAAATCGGATATTATCGTTGGAGCAATTGTGCTATAAGAAGCTTCGCCGATACCAACTAATGCCCGGAATGTTATAAACCAACCGAATTCCTTCATAAATGAACCTAAGAGGGTAGTGGCAGACCATAACACGACACCGACTGCCATAATCCAGCGCCTTGAGTAACGATCACCCAAATAACCGAATATTGGGGCGCATACCATATACGAAATAATGAAGACAGTCTGCAGCAGACCACCATAAGAATTATCGATTTGAAAATCTCTCTGAATATCTTCCAAAACACCTGTAATAGCAATAATAATAATAATAAAGTGTGAATATGTTAGTAATTAATTGAATGCAACTGAAATATAATTACAACGTATTTCCTGATTACAATGTTTATACATTAATGTGCAATTCATAAAAAAAGTAAAAATATCTAATATTTACTCAAAGTAATTACACCTAATAACAGCCGTCTATTTAGAACTTAATTATCATATCAAACATCATCATCATATGATGATGATATCATATTATGCAATCGGTTTGTTTCATTTTCTTTGGAATAAAACTTTTATCAAGTTTAATAGATGGACGATTTGACGAACATTTCTCTCAGACATCTATACAAAAGTAAAAGCGCAAATATATAAAAACTCCTTTGTAATATATTAGTTTGGGGAAAAAGAAATCCATTATTTTTTCAGTAGATGGCTGCACTGATAGATTTCTCGTAAAGTATCGATCAAACAATTTCATATTTATGCTCGTTGGAAAGGTGACATTTCGTATTAAAAAAAATTCTTTTGCTGTTTTTTGTTTGGTGCATTCAGCGTGTTAAAAATGGAAGTGAACAAAGAGAAAATTCGGTACATTTTACAGTTTTTCTTTGACAAAGGCGAAAATGCAAGCCAGGTGGCTAAAATTGTGAATGGTGTTTATGGTTCCGATACTGTAACAGCCAATTATGTGCAATTTTGGTTTCGTAGATTCAGTTCAGGAATTTTTGATGTTAAAGATGCACCTCGTCGAAAATGTTGATAAAATCGGAGAAATGATCGAAGTTGATCGGCATGTTAGCAGTCGTAACATCGCCCAGGAGCTAAAAATCGACCATAAAACAGTTTTAAACCATTTACACAAAGCTGGATTCAAAAAGAAGCTCGATGTTTGGGTGCCACACTAATTAACAGAAAAAAACATGATGGATCGAATTTCCATCTGCGAAGCCTTGGCCAAACGGAATGATACAGACCCATTTCTTAAACGGATGGTGACTGGAGATGAGAAATGGATCACATACGATAACCCTGTGCGAAAACGATCGTGGTCAAAGAGCGGTGAAGCACCTCAAACGGCCAGGAAGGTTTTGCTATGCATTTGGTGGGACTGGAAGGGGATTATTTATTATGAGTTGCTTCCATATGGCCAAACGCTAATTTCTGATCGCTACTGTCAACAACTGGACCGTTTAAAGATAGCGATTGACCAGAAACGGCCAGAATTGGCCAACAGGAGAGGTGTCGTGTTCCACCAGGACAACGCTAGGCCACACACATCTACAGTGACTCGCCAGAAACTTCGGGAGCTTGGTTGGGAAGTTTTAATGCATCCGCCATACAGTCCGGACTTGGCACCAAGCGATTATCATCTTTTTCTTGCATTGCAAAATTTCTTTAATGATAAAAAATTGGAATCTAGGGAGGATTGTGAAAATCGAGTACTAAAGTTTTTTGCAAATAGAGACCAGGACTTCTATGAGAGAGGCATTTTGAAGTTACCTTTAAAATGGCAACAAATCATACAACGAAACGGTGCATATTTGACCCAAATCGGACAATCCGAAGCATGTTAAATAAAGTCCTGAAGTTCATATAAAAATAATGGATTTCTTTTTATCAAAAAACGTATAAAAATTACATTCGATTGTAGACGAATTTTTCGCAAGCTCCATTTCGATCTTAAAAGCAAAAAAAAAAAAAGTAAGAACATTATAGCCGTGTAAGGTTGAAACTTAGATACGCTACATTACTTCGCTCAATGCAGTTACTCACTCATTTTGATTATAACACACCAAAAGTTACACATGATTTTCATGCAATGGCATACTTTCCGTGAAAGCTCACATATTAGAGGAATACTTAATATCGAAAAAACAGACCTATGTGGTCCAAATTCATTAAGTTTAATAGCTATGACAATTTACTGTTATGAGGTTATTTTCACTATAAAATTTTATTTGTACTTTATATAAAGATTTCGTAGGAGCAGTTACGCGAGAGGGAGTTCAAAAAATTAGCCTTAGCCGAACCAAATGTTTTATACTAATTTAGAATATTCAAATACTTTTACAGAGCCAGTTTGGGCGAGAAATTTTGAAAATTGCAATTTCTTTCCATGTAATGACGGACCGATCGCAACCATTTCCAATAGTGTTCGTCGTTGGGTCACAGCACGTCAGTGTACCAAATTTCATCAAAATATCACGGAAAATGCGACCTGTAGCTTGAACATAAACCTTCGTGGACAGACATTAGATGGATAGACATGCCTAGGCGTTCAGAAAACGCTCCCGATTTGATCAGTATAATAAAAGGCGCGTCTGTCTTAAATCCCTTTGCGTGTTATATACGTCCGCCTAAACTTAATATACTCTGTACCACAAGTGATGTAGGGTGCAATTAAGTTTTTCTTCCCTATAGCCCATACAATGTAGGTGCAAGACTATTGTAATGTTGCAGCTGATGAATAATAAGCGAAATCTCCACTTTTTTTTCTCTTTAGTTTATGTTGTACTGTAGGCGTATTCTCGACTCGACCTAGCCCATTTTTAAATGCCGAAGCATGTGCAAGAATATGCAATTTTTTGACATGCTTGAAGAATCACAAATTTTTGCGACCGGGTTTATCGAAACCTTTAGAGAAATGGGTGGACGGAGGGACGGGCTTATCTGCTTCGTATCATTGAATTGTGATTTTTAGGATAGCATTGATTCCCGATTTATTTACAAATTATTTACAGGGACTTACAGTTACAATGCTCTTCCTAGTCTTGTTCGATTGCATATAACGATTCAAATCTCTCGACTCGACTGACCTTGCCCACTGCATATACTTTGTAAGGCAGTTACACATACCTAACTTCAGTGTGTCATTTTTGTGTTAACCTCTTTTGCACGAGCTGTTCTGCGTTTGATTGTTAATCTTTTCGCTAATCGCCAGTCGCCGGTTGCGTCGGCCAGTAAAGCGTCATGAATGTCCATATGGCTTTACCATTTTTAGAATTTTGTATTACTATTATCGATGGGGATTTATGGAGTTTATAGAAAATGTGGAATTTTGCTTTAAAATTCTTGTTGTTTTATCAATGATCCTACAGAATTAATGAATGACGTGTTGTGGCAAATGGCAGAGAAGCATTCACGTGACCTTGGCAGGCAATGTTTTGCCTTATGCTTATGGGTAACTGAAGAAAACATTACAGTTTTACATTATGAGCCTATTTTTTAAACTAACCCACGCAATTAATCTAAACGTAATGTGTAACGACAAATTGAGGTAGTTTTTTATTTATTCGTCATTATGATAAAAGCAAGATAAATAATTTAGGAAGATTGCTTGCCTCCTAACCTTTCTCCCGGCTTTCATTCAACTCAAGCTGAACTACTTATAACGCAATATGTAAAGGGAATTATACACAAAGGGAAAAGACGATGTAATTTTCCATGGGAAAGAGATAAAAGGTAGAGAGAGAGGGAGAGAGAGAGGGAGAGAGAGAGAGAGCAATCCTTTATGAAAGTCAAAATACTTTAAAGTAATAAAAAAATAAAAATATCAGACGATAATAACGTAATATGGCAGAACCACACCATCCACCGCTAACTATGTAAGACGCCAACTAGTAAAAAAAAGGAAAAAAAAATGTATCGCATGTTCAGGTGACTTTGCAAATACAAAATAAAAAGCTTATCGCGTGAGCAAGTGTGCTCAATACAAAAGAAACAAACATACGTACAGGTGTCTCTCGTTTAACACAGTACTTGTAAGGCATGATTCCAATATAATGCCATATAAATTTGACGAATATTACAACACGATTTTGATAAACGAGAATTCGAAAAATCGAATATGTTTTTTATCCAATTGATGTTTGCTTTTACTTATCCATTTTAGTTTTTTATCATTAATAAGGAGTTTTAACTAACCTTGAGAAAGTAATTAATAACTAGCTTAGCCGTAATTGTTGATGAAAATTCATTTGTGATTGTCATCATTATTTTTTAAATTTGTATTTTTCATTGTTGTACTTCATCATAGAGGTTTATTGGTTTTGTCAAAACATTCGCAATACTCAGAGACCCTATACATTATATACATTCTTGGTTAGCATCAAACTGTGTTCCGATTTAAACGACTCCCTCTGCCCGTCTATCTGTCTGTGGTAAACACTCTCCAGGTTGCAAAAATCATTCAATCGACTTCAAATTTGGCACAAAGCTTGAAAGTTCTCGCAAGCGGATGACTATTGAAAGTAAGCCCAATCGCTTAAGGACCACGATCAATACTACATAACCTAAAAAAAATTTATAATTTGCTGGTTATCTATCAACAACAACACAACAAACGCAATACCCAAAATTGGTATTTGTATTATATTCAATGAGTGGTGTTGCAGCAGGTGCACAAAAATGGGGAAAATCGCCTACGCCTACTCAATATGACAGAATATTGAAAAACGCTTGAGATGCGGTGATGGTGCATATTACATCTTAATATTAATAAAAATGGTCCATATATCACGGTTTCGATATAGTGCGGTATGAATAAATCGTGTTAAACGACTGATGCTTGCATATTCAATTCGGCTGAATTTTTTAGTACCCCCCGCTTATGTGTTGAATTTCATCATGATTCTTAGATATGCAACGCACATACGGTACTTGAGTGCCTGTTAGAGTAGCGATTCTTGGTCTGTGTCCTTTGCATCATACATCGTACGTTCACATCTTCCACCACTTGTAATACAAGGGCAAATCAAGTTTATGCGGAGATATGTAACGTCCAGAGCGACTTTAGATAGATCTTCCTCTTGTTATATCGATCGATTTAATATTACTTTTTAAATCGCTTGTCTGTCCCTCCGTCCATCTTGTATTCTTGTCGCAGTGCGTAAGATATTCCGATGAAACTCGATAGACGGACGTTTTTTAGCCCAGGGATGAACGGTATTGAAAATGATTCGGATCGAACCATTTTGCCTTTTATCTATGAATAACAATTTTACTAAGCGAAGTGGTG